TGTGATTTGTGGCTATCAAAGGTTTGATAACCACCCTGAGTGTTGCAAGGGTGTGGGAGATACTTATGTTAGTGCTGTCGATAGGTACAGACTTTCTGGAAAGCAGCCTGGGTCTGAGCAGTGGGAGCAATTAAAACTGAGGGAGTAATTTTGCCTCAGGCAGTAGTCTGGAATGTAGACTGCACAAGTGCATTCCCCACAGCGTACTACGGCACTGGGAAGGGAAGGGAGTGCTCAGCCCTGGGGGCGTTGTGGGTGAGCGAGGACACTGGCATTGGTGCAAGTAGGTGGGGGTCGTTGGGAGGGCAGCTGGAGTCAGCCCAGACAGGTTTAGCTGAGTCTCTTGGCAGCTGGGCATTGAGAGAAGCAAGGGGGCTTGTGTGCCCTGCTAGACACATGTTCAAAGCCATTCAGCATTCAGCGCTGAATATTCAAATATTCAGTAGCTATTTTTAGCGATTAATAGCCAGACAGTGAAAATAACCCAAATACCCATCCACTGGGAAACGTGTAAGTGCCCGCGATGGATATTATCTGGCGATTCAGAGGATCGTGGTGCTGACACCTGCCACGGCTCAGGGGAGCTTGGAACGCCTGCTCGGGGAGGGCCGCTGGACACAGAAGGCCACGGGATTCCGCTTCTATGAAATGTCCCAAACTGGTGCCTTAGACAGCTAGCAGGCAGGTGGTGGTTTTCCAGAGGCTGGGGGGCGACCAGGGAGTGCGTGCTCCGGGAGGTGGGGGAGGTCGAAAACGTTCGGGAGTGGGGTAGTGGTAAAGGTTTGCAGCTGCGTTTGAAAGCTGGTGGGTTGCATGTGAGTGGTGTGTCTGCCACACCCTCCTCTAAAACTATACGTAAACAGGGCAGTGAGCAAGGGGAAAGTCAATTGTCTGAAGTCCCAAGTTAAAAGATTGGTTTTTTTAAAATTTTTTATTGTTATGTCAGTCACCATACATTACATCATTAGTTTTTGACGCAGTGTTCCATGATTCATTGTTTGTGCATAACACCCAGTGCTCCACGCAGAACGTGCCCTCCTCAATACCCATCACCAGGCTAACCCATCCCCCCCCCCCCTCCCCTCTAGAACCCTCGGTTTGTTTTTCAGAGTCCAGCGTCTCTCATGGTTCGTCTCCCCCTCCGACTTACTCCCCTTCATTCTTCCCCTCCTGTTATCTTCTTTTTTCTTAACATATGTTGCATTATTTCAGAGGTACAGGTCTGTGATTCAACAGTCTTGCACAACTCACAGCGCTCACCATAGCACATACCCTCCCCGATGTCTATCACCCAGCCCCCACCAGTCCAGGAACCCTCAGTTTGTTTCCTGAGATTAAGAATTCCTCATATCAGTGAGGTCATATGATACATGTCTTTCTCTGATTGACT